ATGCGGCAGAGGAAAGGATCTCTGAAACAGAAGACACACAAAATGAAAGTGCCCAGCGAATTAAACAGCTAGAGACAAACCTCAGCAAAACTAATAAAATGATGCAAGAGATGAAGGATTACCTTAGAAAATTGAATATTCGGATCATCGGCCTCCCCGAGGGAGTAGAAAGAGAATCTGGGATGCAAGCAGTGCTTGATGAAATTATACAGGAAAACTTCCAAAACACTTGGAACACGAATCCACCCCGCATACAGGATGGACAGAGAACTCCCAACAGACATGATCCAAAGAGATCTTCACCCAGACACACGGTGCTCAAGTTCTACTCCAATGAAGACAAAGAAGGAATCCTGAGACAAGTACGAAGTAGAGAAAAGATCACATACAGGGGAAAACCCATCAGAATTACTGCTGACTTCTCCGAAGAGACCCTACAAGCAAGGAGAGAATGGACAAAGATCTTCCAAGTCCTGAAACAAAACAACTGTCAACCAAAAATAATCTACCCAGCAAAGATCTCATTTGTATTTGAGAACGAAATCAGATACTTCAATAGCAAAGAAAAACTAGAAGAATATGTCTACACAAAACCAGCCCTGCAAAGTCTCCTTAGAAATGCGCTAGTCCCGGACAAAAAGGAGGCAAATCACAAACAAAGTTGGCAAATAAGAAGGTCTCCAAACTAAAGGCCGCACAAACAAGACAACTACATAGGCAACAACACATACACAACACAAACACATGGCAGGGCAAAATTGCAACCTCTCAATTTTAACTCTCAACACAAATGGTCTAAATTCACCAATCAAAAGACAGAGATTAATAGAATGGATCATCAAACAAGACCCAACCATCTGTTGCCTACAAGAAACGCATCTAACCAGAAAGGATGCAAAGAAACTGAAAGTGAAGGGATGGAAAAAGATATTTCACGCTAATGGACGAGAAAAAAAAGCTGGGGTAGCTATCCTAATTTCAGACGAGATAGATTTCATTCTAACTAACATCAAAAGAGACAGGGAAGGCCATTTTATACTGGTGAAAGGAATGATCCATCAAGAAGCAATCACCATCATTAATGTTTATGCACCGAATCTTAATGCACCTAGTTACGTAAAGCAATTACTTACAGACTTAAGGGAAGACATAGACACCCGCACAATTCTTGTAGGCGATCTCAACACACCTCTAACAACAATGGACCGGTCTACGAAACAAAAACTCAACAAAGAAACAACAGAGCTCACACAAACAATAGAACAACTGGACTTAGTAGACATATATAGAACTTTTTATCCTAAGGCCACAGACTATACATTCTTCTCAGCGGTGCATGGCACCTTCTCCAGAATCGACCACATGATAGGACATAAAGCGAATCTAAACAACTTCCAAAACATTAGTATCATACCATGTACCCTCTCAGACCACCATGGGATGAAACTGGAAATCAACAACTCAAAACTCCCCAAGAAGTATACGCACTCTTGGAAATTGAACAATATGCTATTAAACGAACATTGGGTCAGAGAAGAAATCAAAGATGAGATCAAAAAATTTATGGAAACCAATGAAAACTCTGATACAACATTCCAAAACTTGTGGGACACCGCCAAAGCAGTGCTACGAGGTAGATTCATCGCAATCGGAGCGCATGTCAAGGCCCAAGAAAGACGCCAAATACAGGAACTAACCTCACACCTCCAGGATCTGGAAAAACAGCAGCAGAAGAGTCCCACGCACAATAGGAAACAAGAAATCATCAAAACAAGGGAGGAGATAAACCAAATAGAAATCAAAAAAACTATACATAAAATCAACAAATCAAAAAGTTGGTTTTTTGAGAAAATAAACAAAATAGACACTCCACTGGCCCGATTGACCAAAAAAAAACAAGAGAAAGTGAGAATTAATAGCATTAAAGATGAAAAAGGCAACATAACAACAGACACTGCAATCATTAAGAAAATAATTAGAAATTACTACAAAGAACTGTACTCCCACAAATTTGAGGACCACCAAGAAATAGAAAAGTTCTTGGACTCCCACCACTTACCAAAACTCAGTCCGGAGGCAACTGCAGAATTAAATAAACCCATAACCGAGGTAGAGATTGAAACAGTCATCAAGGATCTCCCAACGAAAAAAAGCCCAGGCCCAGACGGCTTCACTACAGAATTCTACAAAACATTCCGAACAGAACTAACCCCAATCCTCTACAAGCTCTTCAAAACAATAGAGGAGGAAGCAACCCTCCCAAACTCATTCTATGAAGCCAACATCACCTTAATCCCAAAACCGGACAGAGAACCATCAGAGAAGGAAAACTACAGACCTATTTCTCTGATGAACATTGATGCTAAAATTCTCAACAAAATCCTAGCCAATAGAATTCAAAAAATCATCAGACAGATCATTCATCCGGATCAAGTAGGATTCATCCCTGGGATGCAGGGATGGTTCAACATTCGGAAATCCATAAATGTTATAAACCATATCCAAAAACAGCAAAACAAGAACCACATAATAGTTTCAATAGATGCAGAAAAAGCTTTCGACAAAATCCAACACCTCTTCATGCTAAAAACTCTAGCCAAAGTAGGCATAGATGGGAAAATCCACAACATAATCAAAGCAATTTATGAAAAACCCAACGCCAGTATCATACTGAATGGAGAAAAGCTAGAACCCTTCCCACTGAGATCTGGAACAAGACAAGGGTGCCCGCTATCACCACTGCTATTCAACATAGTCCTAGAGGTACTTGCAGAGGCCATAAGACAAGAAAAAGAAATCAAAGGCATACGTATAGGAAACGAAGAAGTCAAGCTTTCACTATATGCAGATGACATAATCCTATACATAGAAAAACCAGGAGACTCAATACAGAAACTGCTAGAACTTATACGAGAGTTTGGCAGAGTGGCGGGGTACAAAATTAACGAACGAAAATCAACAGCCATAGTGTACGCAAATAACACCAAGATGGAAGAAGATCTAACCAACAGGATACCATTCAAAATAGCAGAGAGAAGTATGAAGTATTTGGGAATAAATCTAACCAAAAGCGTAGGAGACCTATTCGAAGAAAACTACAAACTATTTAAAAAGGAAATTGAACAAAACCTCAAAAGATGGAATAACATCCCGTGCTCCTGGATAGGCAAAATCAATATCATTAAAATGTCTATACTACCACAAGCAATATACATTTTCAATGCAATTCCAATCAAATTGCCCAAAACATTCTTCACGGAACTGGATACAATGATTCAAAAGTTCATCTGGAAGCACAAAAAACCACGAATAGCTAGAACCATCCTGAAAAATAAGAAGTCAGCAGGGGGAATCACAATCCCGGACCTCTGGACATACTATAGAGCAGTGGTTATCAAAACAGCCTGGTACTGGCACAAAGACAGAAAGGAAGATCAATGGAATAGAATAGAAGCACCAAAAGGGAACCCACACAAATACAGCCAATTAATCTTTGACAAAAAGACCAATGACAACTCAAGCAAGTGGGAAGGCCTCTTTGGTAAATGTTGTTGGGACAACTGGCTGATAGCCTGTAGAAACAAAAAAATAGACCCACATCTATCACCATACACTAAGATCCAATCTACATGGATAAAAGACCTAAACCTACATCCAGAAACCTTCAAACTCTTGCAAGAAAATGTAGGAAATACCCTGCAAGACCTAGGAGTAGGTCCCGACTTTCTAAGAAGGACACCAAAAGCAATAGCAGTTGAGAACAGAATAAACAAATGGGACCTCATCAAACTAAGAAGCTTCTGTACAGCAAGGGAAACAATCAACAAAGTAAAAAAGCAACCCACAGAGTGGGAGAAGATCTTTGCACACGATATAGGCGATAGGGGGCTAATTTCCAGGATATATAAAGAACTTCAAAACAACCAAAAAACCAAAACGAACAAGCCACTCAAGAAATGGGCACGGGAAATGGGCAAACATTTCACAAAGGAACAAGTCCAAATGGCAAACAAACATATGAAAAAATGTTCCAGCTCCCTAGCAATAAGGGAAATCCAAATTAAAACATCGATGAGGTACCACCTAACACCAGTAAGATTGGCCCACATAAACAAGAACACCAACGACGCTTGCTGGCGAGGATGCGGGGAAAAGGGAACCCTACTCCACTGCTGGTGGAGCTGCAAATTGGTACAGCCTTTATGGAAATCAGTCTGGAGAACACTCAAACAACTCAAAATCTGCATACCATATGACCCAGCAATAGCACTCCTAGGAATATATCCAAAACACCTGTTTTACGACAAACCAACATGCATCCCTATGTTCATTGCAGCACAATCAGTAATTGCAAAAACATGGAAGCAACCGAAATGCCCATCAGCAGAAGATTGGATAAGAAAGCTTTGGTTCATCTACTCCATGGAATACTACTCAGCTATTAAAAAAAACAAAATGCAGTTCTTTGTGGCTAAATGGGTACAACTGGAAACTATAATGCTAAGGGAAATGAGCGAATCCCAAAAGATTAGATACCACATGTTTGCCTTGATTTAACCTGTAATTTTTTGTTTGGTTGTTTGTTATTTTTTTTTTTTTTTTGAACCTGTCATTGATACTGTCTCAACCCAGATGTTTCGAAGAAGGGAACTTGCATTATTTTTAACATATTGTTTACCCAATACTATGTCAATTAATTCCATAATGTTGTATATTGATACTGTGGCCTCGTTGGGGCTTTTAACTGACTGGATCTTTACTCTGTTAGACCTATTTTCAGACCATAGAAGGTCTCCCCAAGAGGCCACTGAACTTATCTGGACAATAAGACGCTGAACTTTATGCTAGGCATGTGTCTGCAAGCAATGAATCTCAACCGAACTTGAACTATGGTTATGCAACAAGGTGGAGGAATCCACCATGGGGGGAGGGGTATGGGAGGGGTGGGGGGAATCCCCAGCGCCTATGAATTTATTTTTTTTAAAAAAAGGACAAAAATGCCACATAGGAAGTATCCATTCATGCAACACGTGACGGCTGCTCTACTGAAATCAGGAGAGAGAAAGCTGAAGATTCACTGTACAAATACTGTAAGATCTCACCTGAAAATGGTTCTGATTAAATAGAATCTATGTGGCATGAAATGCTGATGCTTTAATACAGTAAGAGAAACTCGTCAAGTCCTTTTTTCAATGAAGTCACACAATTTCGTAAGAAAAATACTTTCACCTCTCCAATGTAAAAGTCTCCCACCCCCCACATCCACATCTCTGCACAGGTGTAACAGGTGCAACAGCTGCTGGCTCCACAGACGATGGGGCTTCTCGCTTCAGTGCGCCTCAGAGACTCAGCCAACTAAGATGATTCCAGATACTCCAGAGCCACATCATAGCAGAAACGGTACTGCTCCTGGAAGGTGTGAGAAGAAAGCCAGTAAGTCAAACTGAGGAAACGAGTGGAAGAGAACAACAGCCAGCGAACGAGGTCTGATGATGCACTTACACTAGGGACTCCTATTTTTTTTTTTTCTATTTGCAAGATTAATGTCTGGACACACATATTTTACACTCATTTACACTAATGCCAGTTTGAGGAAAAGGAGCTTAATGTTAAAAAGCTATTTGATTTTCCCTGTATCATCTCTTGGATGTTTATAATTGCATTTTAAATCATATTATGGTGGTAATATCTGATCATCACAGAAAAATATTAAGAATCAGAATACAATTCTATCATCAAAATATATTGCTGTGAAAATGCTGCCAAATTCGCATCAGTTCTCTAAATGTATGTTTGAGATAAATTACTTTAACATGAATGCATGTATGAGGCATTATATTCATTTTACTGTAAAAACATGACTTTGAGTCTTTTCCCATGTTACTTAACATATATTCTAGCACTACATAAAAGTGTGACATCTGGATTATTTGATTATGAGAGTAACTCTATTTTCACGATTATATAAAGATACAATAAACATAAATTAACATTTTTCCTTGCATTTAAGATTATTTACTCAGAAATTAAAAAATCCTTTCATTTAAAACTGTCTTTTACAATTTAAAATTCTATTGTAAACTATCAAAAATTAAGAACCCCTGCAATAAAAGCTTCCATCAGAAGTCTTATCATTCCTATCTGAATTACCAAGTAAATATGATTTAAATTAGTCTCTCCCTGGGGCAAGTGTACTTGAAGAATCAAAAAGTGCTGGGCACAGTTATCTCAGGCAGTCTCTAGCGATTTTAATGTCTGAATTTCCTCACCATCCTGATAGCGCAACCGCATAGCACACTGAACTCATGATCAACTATGATGAAGTGGATTTTTAGTAACAATTAGTGTGATATAAATGTAAAGGAAAATATGTAAGGATTTGCAAAGCTCTAAAATGGAGGGTATTAAGAGTTTTTTGTTTGTTTTGTAAGTGGATAACCAGAATTAACTTTGGAGTTAAATTTGGAGTTCAAGTTGCTAGAAATGAGTCTGCTAATGATTTTACGTTTTGCTCTGAGAGAGAAGTGTTTTTTTTTTTTTTCTTTTAAAGATTTATTTATTTCTGTTGAAAGGGTAGATTTACAGAGAGCAGGAAAGATGGAGAGAAAGATGTTTTGCCTGCTGATTCACTCCCCAAGTGGCTGCAATGGCTGGAGCCGAGCTGACCCTGAGCCAGGAGATTCTTCTGGGTCTCCCACACAGGAACAGGATCCCAAGGGTTTGGGCTATCCCCTACTCCTTCCCAAGTCACAAGCTGGGAACTGGAAGAGAATTGGAGCAGCTGGGACGCGGCCGGTTCACATAGGGGATCCTGGCACATGCGGGGTGAAGATTTAGCGACTGATCCATTGTGCCGGGCCTGGCAGGCAGAGTTTCTATCAAGACATTCTTTGTACATTAACGATATTACCATCACCCATCCATTTTGCAAGTGGATCTGAGAGTTCTACCTCAAAACTATCTCCACCTTTCTCCCTCTCTGTTGCTAAACTCCCCAATCAAAATCAAATATCTGCTTGTCCAGACAGCAGCAAAAACCTTGAGGGAAGAAATGGACCAGGGGAGACTGAGGCTTTGTGTAAAGGGGAGAAGTCTGCTACCGCTTGTAAAAGTGAAACAGTTAAGATTTTTGTCTCAGGAAGCAAAGCACCTCGCTGTGAGCAATCCATGAGCAGGAAGCGGTAAAACTACTTCAAAGGTTTACTGAATTTCTCATTTCACTTATCTGATAATCTTGACACATTTGGGCAAGAGCAATGATGCCTTGGTTTTTCTGGTTTACTTTTTAGTGAGTATAAAAAAACTCTATGGCTTCTCTTAGCCTCCAGCTCCCTCCAAGTGAACTCTCTCTCACACACACCCTTAATTGGCCTTGTGGTATAAGAAACCTTTTGATTTTACCAGCCCTGAAAGCTCAACTGACATAACAAGAATTATGCTCTAGAGTGGGTAACAATGAATGCCAACATGATAATCTAATAATTCATATTTTGATTAGAAATGACAATAATGGATAATACATGAAAAAAAAGTTCAATTGCATGTTTAAAATATCAGTTGCCAAAAAAAAAAAAACCCAACAGATGCCTAATAACAAAATTTTGAGACCAGATCCCTCAGATGGAAGTTCTACCAGTTAAATCAGTATGTTTTAAGAAATAAAAATACCAAAGAAAAAGAAGAAGAAAGAAAGTACAAGGTTACAGCCTGAATAGCAGGATTTATTCTTACATTAGAAGCGCTCAACAAAGTTTAGTGTGAAAGATAATTATTGGCTACAATAGGCAAAAATATGCAGTTCCTAAATTAAATGGAAATATTTTTTCTTTGTCATTAGCTGCTTCTGTCATATGTAATGAAGTTTGTGTCAGCAGAGAAAGAAAACTCAGCGAACTATCAATTAGGCAGGAAAGTCCCCAAGATGACTCATTTGTCACGTCTGATTCCTTGCGTGTAACACGTCAAATCAGTAACTATGCAGGCGACTGCCCAATCTCTGAGATCCCTTCTAAGCCACAGATTCCTTTACCTACCGGGGCTTCCACCATGTTTGGCTTGCTGTTCCTTAGCGTTTTCACTGCATGGAAAACATCGACAACATTTTGCCGTTTCACCATTTCAACAACAATGCCTATGGCACAGAACATTCCACTTCGCCCGCCACCATTTCTAAAAGCAAACAAGAAAGTCATTGTAGTTAGTTTTGACAGCCCATGAGAAACATCAAACTGTATATCTGGGATAAGAAAATACTGTCCTCTCAATTTTCTGACTTGTGTCTTCATTCTACTTCGGGTGAGTGCAGAAGGGCAGATCGAGGGTAAGGTTAGCTCAGCAGGTCACACTTAGGAATATGCAACAGACACAGACTGTTGCTGACACATAGAGATTTTCATGCATGTGCAAGTTGTGTCAATCATTTGTACAGGGTAATGTCTCAAAGAATTTCAACCATGTAAAAATGACCTAGTAACCAATATTTCTAATCATAGAAAAAACTAAGGCGATAAAACTAAGGTGATAACTAAGAGTAACATCATGAGACAGACTGTTTGAAAGCAGTAGCTCGAAGAGCTCTCTGTGGTGTTAGAAATGCTTTAACACAGAAAATGCAAAGGCTAATCATTAAACGAGCAGCAGGGCCATGTGTGTGGCTAGCGCTCGCTGCTGGACTCACAGGCAGTGGATGATCGTCCGACCTTCCCCTTCTTCACATTCCTCTTGCCATTTTTCCACCTGTAGTATCAGTTTTAAAAACGAGCGTTTGGAGCCAGGCACTTCCCGATGAGAAGCCCAGCCTAGATACTGAAACTGCTGTACCATCAGGTAGCCTTCCTGGGGCTGTAGAGGCAAAAGCACTTTCGTGAAAATAAGTTGTGATAGCAATTTTTTACTCAAAGGCAAAAGACGCACATCATTTACAATAGAAAGGAGACTTAACACTGGGCTGATTCCAGCTGATGCTGTCTGATACTTGCACAAGGGTTTTCAACTTGTCTGAAATGCATATTTTGAAGAACGATGTGTGATTTCAAAATTTTTTGTACTAATATAAACTTATCTTCTAATTTCATTTTTCTATGAACCTTCTGCAGGGTCCTTCTGCATAAGAAACAGTTACAGCAGGAAGAAAAACAGAAGCCATCTTTTTAGTTCTTAGGATTATTCTTCCTACATAATTCAAGTTCATCTCGTTCTCTTTACTGATATCACTGTAATTTTAATCTCAAATCATGATAAGTAATCTTCTTGACTTCCTGGATAACCAAGGGTCTCCTTACAATCCTTTCTTGTTACAGGTATTATGATTATTTTCAAATGCAAGTGTGATCTTGCCTATGCCTTACTTTCATGGCTTCCAATAATCTTAGTAAAAAGCCAAATCACTTCTATGACATAAACATCCTTATAAAATATACCTCCATTTCTTCCTTAAACTTCCTTTTAGTTTCATTTTTCAAATCATTTCCTGCCTTGCAGAATTTACATGCACTATTCTTTTGGCTTTGGGCTTTTTTGCCTAGGCTTTTTAGTCCCAGAAAGAGTGACCAACTTGGGAGTTTGTCATGGACATTCTTGTGGGAAACAACATCACCTCATGTTTCTTCAAATCCTGGCTTAAATACCAACAAGTTTCCTTTGATCACCCAGTTATGGCAGTTGGCCCAGTTAAGCACTGTGTATTCTGTACCTTTTCTCTACAAAACAGATCATAGTTGCCATTGGTGATTTTACCTCTGAGTGGTTACTGTTTGCCTTCTGGATGCAATATAAATTTGCTAAGGAAAAGCAAAGCCTTTTGGTTTTCCAAACTCTGTTATCATTAGATACTTGCATAATGCTTTTCAAACAGTCGCATTGCTGAAACAATGAACTGAAATCTCAAACCTTCAAATGAAAATATGCGGAAACACATGCACGAGTCGTGCCACAGAGTCGGACCAACAGTGCCGCATTATAATGACATCTTCTGTTAGGCCATGGGCCCTACTTAGTATAACCATGAGGTTATCATTGCTATAAAGTAAGTAACTCATAAAATCAATGATAACAAATAATTATATCTAAAATGTATAAAAAAAGAACAAATGCCCTAGTGAGGATCAGAATCACCATATGCAAAGAAAGAAAGACCAAGTAATCAAGGAATATATAAATATTCTGGAAAAACATGAGCACAGACTTCGGTTCTCAGAATAGTTTTCATGTAAACAGCTCAATTTGCAGACAAGTCTTGGTTCGGCAGCAATGGTTTCTCAGTTAAAATAATACTGGAACCATAATGTAACAGATGTGCAGACATAATGAGGTTCTATTTAACTTAACATCTAAGCTATGCATGGATATTATGGTGTGGCTGAAGTTATTCTTTTTCTCTACACTGAAATGAACAGCTACGTTGGATATCACTTTATTCCTTGCTCATAGTGGTGCACATAATTATTAGGTTTGCATTTCACCATTCTGAAGGGTGAAACAGAAACATGACAATCCCTGCTATTCAAAGCAATACACATACAGAGAGCTGGTGCTTTTAAAAAATTCAGTCATCTTTCCTTTTAAAAGATATGTAATACCATGGAAGTTATTGATGTGCTCTCTTCAAATCCCTAAGGAAGGGATTTCTCTCTCACACAAGGACTTGCAATAGTGATGTGGACTCCTCTTGCAATGGTGGATCTGTACCCCTCTCTGTCCTTATTTGATGTGCTCATTTCTCAGATACAGGACTGTTCTGTTACATGTCAATACCGAAAAAAGGATTCTTATTATAATTCTACATATGTTCAGGGGACAGACTCAGATTGTTAAACTTGATCGAACAAGTTTCCAGATGGAATTATGTTCATTTAGTAACTGACCAAAAAAACCTAGTGTGCAGCATTTCTAGCAGAAAACCTAGTGTGCAACATTTGGAATGCACTTTTGTCCTACAGGCATAAGGTAATTACTACAAGTCATGTGATGGAGTATGCAGTGCTCATGTATTCCATCCTTCCTGTTGTCTGAATAGGAAATTATTCCATCACAGCTACAGTTTCCCAGTTCTGGATCAACTCATTTAGAAAAACCCTCAAAGGACTTACTCTTGTTAAGTTGCATATCCTAAAAATCCGGTTGATAACATCACAATCCATTGAACGAGACATACATTCCACTTGGATAGGGCCGTATCGCAGCATCCCTTCTTCCGGCCAGTACTGAGGGCAGCCCTAGATGGTGATGAATATTTTCACTGTAATCATTGTACTACAAAGCAGATTTTACCCATTTATTATTACCTTATTTGGTTGTGTACAAGAATACAAAAGCAACTCATAGCTATTGACCTGGGACAAGTCGACTTCATTTAACATCACAATGGAGGTACAGCCATAATCATACACTAATCTCCAGAAGTCTTTCACAGTGTTTGGCAGAGGATATTGTGTGACGATGAAAGCAGCTGGTTGCCTGTAGCTCTGCGGAGAAGCAAGATAGACAGAGAAAAACATAAGCGTTTCAACATACAATTAGCTGTATGAACAGATTTAGTAACACTTCAGAACAGGATCAGTAAGAGATGGAACCATTCTTCTGCTGAGCCCTGGAGTAATGGATTTTGAATATGTTCCAATTAAGAATGAGCCAATGTGGTAAGAAGATTTAGATGTCACCAAAGCAATACAAGGAAATAATTGAGTTTTTATCTTATTGAAAGGCTACAGGGTAAATACAAAAGAAATGAAAGAATTTTGTGAGGTTAAGATCCACCATGAGGTGCCTGCTGGGCTGTTGTAATTTTCCAAAGGAAATGAATGAACTCTGAGAAACTGAAGGTCCAGTGAGCACAAAACCCCTTGTGCTTCTGGCTCCTGGTTTACCAAGGGTGTCATAATTGGGACAAAGTCAATACATTAGTTCTTTGCAGAATTATGAGTAATATAAGAAACGTCTATGTTGGCTAGGGAATTTTTCATTTTGTTAATTGGTGATTTATACTAACAAAGAAATACATTTGCATACAATGATTTATACTTTTTAAAAATAATTGTTTTTTATTTATTTGAAAGGCAGTGTTACAGGGAGAGAAGCATGGGACTTTTCCCTTGGTGGCCATAGTGGCTGTGGATGTGTCACTCCTAGGCTGGAGCCTCTTTTGAGTCTGAGTCTCCCACATGGACACAGCTGTCCAAACACTTGTGCTGTCCTCTGCTGCTTCACCAGGTGCATTAACAGGCAGCAAGAATGGAAGTGGAGCAGCCAGGACTTGGACCAGTGTCCACGTGGGATGTTAGTGTCACAGCTAGAGGCTTAACTTGGTATGCCACAATGCTGGCCCAGATCCCATCTCTCTGTAAAATAAATAACCAGACAGTGTTTAGGATACATTTCTCTAGCACAGACAAAAATTGTCAGAAATTGATCCTTGGACTTAATTGATGCTGCTGCCATTAGAAAATTGCCATTAATCATGGCATTGCATTCCACTGGAGCCTGCAGGAAATAGCTGAGTAGGAGGTAATTCGCCATCTACTTATAAACTACTTGGAACAACCTTATAATTACACCAGTCAGGTAGGGGTGAGCATCTACTAAGAAAGGTATAAAGGTTTATAAGAAACAGTCAAAAAGACAGTGTTTTCTTCCATTTAAATTTCAGAGTAAGCTGATATTTACTCAGTTTTTGAGTGATAGGGAAATTCCTCAGGAAGAGTTGATAAAGGAAGGGACTTTCCCTTTCCTTGTAAGGCTTAGCATTCACAAAACATTTGCCAGTGTCTCCTTAAACATCACAGGTGTCTATAACACTAATGTGGAAGCTTAGAGGCAAGAAATAGTGATCAGCAACAAGACCTATATTGTAAATTAAATCAGTCTTACTTTTCTGAAGATTAAGTTATGTTACTAAAGACACACACAGCTTCAACTATGGGATATGTTTGTCTGGAATCACAGGAGATTAAACAAACACAAGAAACAATTAGAATATAAGTTTTCGATATTTATATGGAAAAAGAGGCAAAATGAAATTGAGAAACAAATGAACAAAGTTGATGAAGATAAAAAATCAAACATCAATACTTTTCCCAATAATATTTTTTCTTTTTCACAAGTGCTTTTTCACTCTCTATGTTCATCTGAGCTTGCTTTTACATCTAGTCTCTGGTCTACAGGACACACACATACACACACCCCCCCCAAAAAAATCACAGTAACTGCCTGAAGCTACAGGTAGGATGTGAATTTTTCAAAGCCTCTACTTGCATAAGGTAGTTTGATAAAACAGAATGGGAACAGCAGCTTAGCCTCATTACAGTAGAACAGGAAAAAATGCTGGTCCCTACACTCTCCTGTTAAGGGGGAAATGGTGGAAGTGAGAAATGAAGATGATAAAACTGTTTAAAAGGATTCTGAACACTACAGTCATTTTGTGTCTTTCCAAGGCGATCACAATCAGGAGGCTGGAGACCTAATTGTCTCTCTCGATGTGCTGTCTGCAGCTGCTAACACCCTGTGTATTTGTGGCAGCATCTGCAGTTCAGGAAGATTAGAATGGGGTTCAACAGTTCTTAGGTTGGCTATTATTTTCTTTTCTGAAAATAACTGAGACCAAAAAGAAAAAAGCATATCCTGCATCATTTTTTGAACAATAAATGAAAATCAAGCTCCAAATCTATAATACAACTACAAAAATAACAGCTTCTAAAAGTCCTATATGAAAAATTAAAAATTCTTCAGGAAAGCACATTTCAAAATATGTTCCCAATTTTTCCTTTTAGGATGTTTTAATTTTCTAGGACAGAAGACTAGCTTGTGTTCAGTGGCCTAAGCAGATTTTCATGGCACTCTACGTTAATAAAGAAGGCACTCTCTTACATCCATAAGAGCAGCATTGATGTAGTTACTGCTCTCCCCATCAATTGTAATTAAAAAAGGCAGACATCTGTCAGGTGGCAGCATGTCCATGAAACGATTCTTGTCATGGTTCCTTGGCAGGCATGCTATACTGCAGTCTTCAGCTTGTAGTCGAGGGGTGACTGAATTCAGAGTCTAAAACGAAAGGGGAACCCAGGTTAAAGGACAGTGACCCATGTAACAGCATAACATATCCATCCATCAAACATTGAGGAGACCAAGAGAAAAGTAAAGGATTTGCATAAGGCAAAGGGCATTTGCCAATGTGACAGGCTGGTAGATTGTAGCTGAAGCTAAGGAAGCCTGTGAGTGACAAAGAAACAAGACACATTATTCAATGTGCCTCTTCTACAAAGCAAAAACACCAAAGTTGAATGACTTAGCTACCTGTGGTCTGCAAAGCCTAAACAAACACAATGCGTGCCAGTCAGACCAGGATGAGGATGGCATTTCAGAGCTGCACATCGTGTCATATACGCACATGTACTGGCATGCCATGTTGGAAGACAAACTGGCGTGTTAGAATCCTAAACCAAGAATCAAAACCCTAGGTATCTCAAGCCAGCTTCGGGTTCATTTTCACTCAAGATCATTCATGGAAGTTTTAAGGCCATGAAAACATTGGGGGTTACACAGAGACAATATTTAGCACAAGCTTCAGCTAATATTATTAGCGGGCTTGACCAAACTGTGAATGACAAAGAAGGTCATCGTAAAGCTGCTTAGAAAAAGGCCGTAAACACACACAAGTCTCCACCAAATTTGACTTTATGATTTCTTTTTTCCTATCTTCTTCCCTGTGCCTGAACTCACTTGCCCTTCAGGGTACAGGAGATAAGAGCTCATTAATACAAAAGTGACTCTGTAATATGTGCAATGAAAGAGACAGGCATTATATTAGATTTAAAATAGGGTAAAGGTTATGAATGTGAATTGAAAGATCTTCCTTAAAAGAACTGTTAGTTCCTAGAAGAAATTATAATATGTTGTACAAGAGGCCTTAGAAATAGTCAATACCTGAAATTCATCTTTGAGATGTGAAGAGTTAGTCTGCGAGTCTATTCTAATCATATCAAAATATGCAGCTTTAAATTCACAGACAGGTATAGCAGTTTCTCCACACAAGCAGGCTTCCAAAATTGCATCATGAATAAAAATGTACTGCTCCTATCAAAGAAAGGGAAAAAAGCCACACTATTTAAATAAAACTTTAAATCAAAGTTAGAGAAACAAGTTTCTAGGAATTGTTCATTAAGATACTTAGATACAGCTTTTAGCCTAAATGCTACACACCATTTTGCGGTACCTGGACTCAATACTGCAGTCTACATTATGACTCCAGCTTCCTGCTGATGCTGATTTTGGGAGGACCACAGGAAACTGTGTTCCTGCTACCCAGGCCAATGATCTAGATAGCCAACTCTGCTCCTGGCTCTTGCCATGACTAAGCCCTACATATGGCAGCCGGCTGAGGGGGACCAGTTACTGGAATCTTTCTATTTCTCTAACACTCAAAAAACATTTTTTTCCTACAAAATATGAGGAACTAATATTGCTTATACAATGAAAACCATCTACTCTTTTGTTTGATAAATGTTGGTAACCCTCCCATCCCTGGCCCGTGAAAAATGAAATCTACTAAAGGAAATCAACCCACTTCTGTCTGGACCATGTTGATGCGTCGAGATCTTAAGGCCTTAACACAGTTATAGATGTCAACAACACCTTCTCTCTCAGCCATGTCCAACATGATGTCAATCACAATATAACAGCCAGTTCGTCCAGCACCAGCACTGAAAAATAATCACATCCCACAAATTACAAAAAGGTACATTTCTCTTCCTAACCCTAAGGTCCTTTCTACCCTTTTTCTACTTTTAGAATAGAGTACTCAATCAGAATTAGTAGCACAAAAGCACATGAACTGTTTATTTTGTGTAAAAACAGTAATTTAGCAATAAAACTTCACAGAGTTTCAAATTACTTTAGAGTACTTCCAACTATTATCAAATGGAAAATGATGTTTAAATGTTCTATATTGATTAAAAAGCTTCCATGCTCAACAATGCAAGAATTAAAAACTTTCTTAAATACCAAGGCAAAATAACTTTTGAAATCTTTAAATCAGAAATGATGCAATTCAGAGTTATTAGTTCCTAGTAGATCACAAAGACAGCCACCATCTTATTGCATTTAATTCAAAAAAGCTAAATCATAACAACTCGTTGTTAGCAATTTTACTCTTTCAGAATGTTTCCACAGTTTTATATACAACCGTCAATTATACAACCACCAGTAGAGCAAATAAGGTATTGATTTTTGAGAAAATCACTTTGAAATCAGCATCTTCTTTTCCAAAACTCTAGAAATACCTAGCCTATTTCTGTCTGTAGAGAGTATCTGCAAATTTTGAAGCATTCTTGGAGCAAGAAATTCTATGATAAAGTAAGAAATCTTTGAATTGAAGTTCACCTTTATATTCACCTTTCAAGTTTACAGATGTGCTGCTAACATTTCTTCTTTATTCAGCTTTGGTCACTTCTGTCATACTCATTGCTCTTTTCAGAAATTTAGGCAAAAGATATTGTGGCTAGGTCTATTTTTTTTCCTGCCCTCATCTTTCCAATCACTGTTCCCATGGTTGGAGAAGAGTAAAGTGAATAGTACATCAGGTTCCTGAGGTTTGAAATGACTATATATATATATATATGTATGTATTTTTTTTTCCCAAGGTGTATAGAATCTGGACCTTGTAGGATGCCTTACATTTAGTTCATTCTCTGTTGATCCTCCCCTCTCCCCTACCTTTACACACGGTCATTTAAATCCTGAATACATTGGAAAAATGCTTCACTACAACCTATTATGCAGCAGAAAATATTTGAGAAGACTGCAGCTTTTCAGAAAGCTTTTCTGGTACCATCTCAAAATGAGGCCATGAAATTTGCTTTCAGTGCCTCTCAATGCTTGTTTTATGAGAAGGTTCTAACCAGAAGACAGTCTGAATGTGATGTTCATGTGTTTGGCATACATTTAACTGAATCCTATTGATGCAGTGTTCAAGGTCTTCTGATGGATGACATTGAAAATTTTAAACTAGCTTTGTTGTAGTGCAAATTCTTACCTTTTAGGACATTTGGTAAGTCTGCATGTTTCAAATGTAATTTTAAAAGCTTCTATTGAGAATTTACTAGATTGATAAGAAACCTGTACTTGGAGCAACTATTCCATACAACATGGGGTTTATAAAAGCGATAACAACCATCACCAAAAAAAAAAAAAAAAAAAAAAACAAAACTGTCCCTAAAAGGCAGAGTTCCTATGCTTGCACTTAGGTGTAACACTACACTTATCAGAAGCAATGTGTGTTTTTCTACAATTTCCCTTTAACTGCTAACCTTTATTACTATTTTATGTAGTACATACAAGGGGGAATTTATAACTGTACATTGATTTTTTGTTAAAAACCTTGTTTTTATACTCTTAAAAAAAGACTGACAATGTATAGTCAGCAAGATTAATGCCACTCACCTGCAATGCACCACAATAGGACCAGCACTAGGAGGGTTAGATAACTTGACTCGCCGGATGAAGGAAAGGAGCCCTGTGGCATGGTAGGGCACCCCATGGTCAGGCCAGCCAGTGAAGTGAAACTGTTTAACTTCACGGATCTCATTGTAGCCTCTCTGTGCAAGGATGGTAAGAGGAATTTTGAAAAGGATGAAAATAAAGTCATTAAACGTAATTATTAGACTTGAATGACAACAATAAATAAGCCACGGTTTCTAAAAAAGGATGCTGGCATCGTGCGGCCTAAGAATTAGTTTAATCCTGAGGCAACTGTCAAAGAAGGGAAGAAGTCTTGCTCCATTATGTAAGTCTGGGTAAACTTTATTTACCTTGACAACTTGTTTCTGACTGGCAGTGATAACATTATTGGGGGGAAAGGAAGAAATGGAAAAGCTAAAATGCTTCCCTGTTGACCCAAGGCATTGAGTTCTTAAGTGGTATATAAAAGCACCCTTCCAGCTTCTCACCTCACAAAGAAATTTTCATGCCTTGCTTATCCAGGTTGAAAATGGTTTTAAAGCATAGCATGTAGGGATTTTCCGGGAGAGTGCTACTCTAGATTGGTTTACGAAAACATACAGGCAACTAAACTGTTCTTTGGGAAATTATTTTTTTTGTAGCTCTTTGAAATAACTCAGTAGATAAATATTGAAAATAATAAAAAACAACAAAATGTGCTTCTTTCCTATTGGGTTAATTTAAGAGAACATATGAAATGTGCATGTAAAAGCTCTTCCCTTGCCCTTTATTTTATTTTTACATTTATACTTTGGAGAACCTAAATGAAATACTAAGAAATTTATTTTTAAAAAGTCCCATTTGTTGCAAGGAAAAAAAAAGTACAATCTGTAAAATTTTTACTCTACTGTTAGCCATCAATGCAATCTCAATCTCATACATTCAATCAGAAAAGGAAAAATACTATACAACCGCAAAGTAAACTAAATTTAAATAAACTTAGGTTGTATCCCATACAATCCAATAATAGCAAAGCTTAAAAAAGAAAGTAATCATGTTTTATTATCTTTTTAAAGATATTGTTCCTAGCTCAACAATGTATACAAAGCAGGGTTCAATAAATATACTAGTCTCAGTGATAAACATCGTGACATTATAGAAATGAAAAAAAAAGTGACATTGTTTTCTACTTTTCAAGTATCATCCATGAAAAGGATCATAAGGTATTTTCAGATCTGACTTTACTCTTTATCTTCCATTTTTGATGGGTTTTTACATCCTCTCTCTTTTGCTTATATTAGTGTTTGCTCTTTTTACTAAATTTTCATTTTCAGCATTGCGTGTGCCCCCATGTTTCTTTTCATTATGTTTTCCTGAGTAATTTTCTAATCGCAGTCTCTTAATAGATTAGTCTTCTGCAGATCCAAACGAAAGAACAAAATAGAAAGCCAATATTACTCTCTAACAGGACTGTGTCAAATCTACAAACTGATTGTTACACCCAGCACTCTTATAGTCTCCAGAAAGCTGTATGCCTCCAATAATTCTGACCTTATTCTATGTTCTTCAACACAATTCCACGTTTCTATACAAAAAAGACTCATATCTCCGCTGCCAATATAATCCAAATCAAGTCTATGCTATGCACAAGATTTTTAATAGATTCTATTTATTGCTAAATAAAACAAAGTTGTGGTTTGTGAATGTTTATAAGTCACTTAAACTGCATATATGATTATATAAAATATATATTAGCTCCTTTAAAACATATTTTAAATAATTTTTAATCTAATAGTGAACACAATTTACTCCTTTTGGCAGTCATATTTTGTTGCTCAAACATCCAAGAATGTTTAGCACTAGTAATAACGTTTGCCTGCATCAAATTCCCAATTATAACAATGACAATGTTCTTAGTTCTTTGTAGTAAATGATTAGCCATTAGTTTTCACTACTTAATATGTGTGCTGTCAGTTATTGCCGACTCATATTCATCATGTTTAGAAAGTCTTCACTATATTTTAATAAATTTACCTGCAATAATCAATAAAATCACAGTTTTATTACATTAGATGACTAACAAAATCTACCCTGCCAGCTTTACCACTCTGGTTGACATATCAACGAATGTCTTGAAAAGGAATGATGACAGATCCTGTTGTTATTATTTCCAGAATTCACTTCAGGACTCAACTTACCCTCTCCAGGGTGAACGTTCTAACTACATATTCAGCAAGTGGTTCCATTTCTACACAAGTGACTTTGAAGTCACCATAAACTTCAGTGTCATCAGGCCAATATTTATAGCATTTAACCTAAATGAGAAAAAGAATACCAATGCAAGCAGAATACAGATACAAAGTAGTCAAAACAATTTAGTTTCTGAAGTAACTCTTTAGATTAATAATGAATTCGTTTTTAGCATAGAAGCAAAGCTCCCCTTCTTATTCAATAAGAAATCAAATAATTCCTCAGCCACTGGATGTCCATTTAGAAGTACACAATGGATATAATTTATCTATGAATAAAATTTAAACACTTCATAATATTTGTTTTGACTATAATGTGTTGCTTCCCAAATATCCTCATGGTTTTTACTATGCATGTTGTATATTATATTACACTTGTATACATATACATATATGCATAAATAAGACAATATATTATATATGCATATAGAAATGCATAGACAAATAGGAATATATATATATATATACATATATATATATTGTCTCTATATATGTCTGTGTGTATTTTTTTCTTCTTCTTACCCGGCCAACTTCAACTAAGTTTGTAACCATTACAATGCAGGCAGACTGTTCTTGCCAAATCATTCTCCAGAAATCATATACTGTTTCATGAACTGGGCCTGTGGAAACATTAATTTTAATATCTTATTGTCAGAGAAATTTCATATTTAGTAAGAAGTTTAGATGAGATAAAAGCAGGACAAGTAAGTTAAAACAAAATATAAAAGTGACTGAAAATACTTAGATTATATGCATATCTAAATTCACTCCACATTCAAAAACACAGCCATGTAACAGGGTTTCTCTTTTGTTTCATGTTTCTCAACTTTGTTTTCTGTACTTTTTCTAAGTTGTATCTCTTGTTTCTAGGGTATTTTCTTGTCGATAAGTCACTTCAAGTGCATCTTCAAAATACATATGACATGCTCATCTTATAAAGCATTCATGTTTAGTAATTATGAGGAAGCGTCCTCACACTCCGAAGCACATCCTAACCTCTTCCTAGAATATCACTTCCAACAGCAGAACGCACAGGGGCAAACTCACTCAGTACTATACAATGAGTATTGTACGACACTATGGTTGATCCTTCCATCTTTACAAAGTATACATTAAAATTCAATTACTCCAACTATATGTGAAAAATTAGAAAATGACCTCTGTCAAAAGAACAAACATCACTTTTACTTTCTTATCGTATAAATCAGATGTGTAGGGTTCTCTTCTGATGACTACTTGTCAGTTTGGAAAGATGACTCATTTTGGGGGGTATGGGTAGGACTTGGATATTTTTATTGCCTAGAAAATTACTATCAGAATATTTCACAATTTTCTTTAAAAAATTATTTGCAGAATGAATCTGACTAAATTCCCTGTAGCTCTGTTTTTCCTAATCTGTCAAAAAAAAAAAAAAAACTGCTGGAAGACAGTGTAACATCTCACTACAACAATACTGATTCCACGATGATAAGTGGCCCTACAAGAAGAAAGGTTGGGGCTGGTATTACAGAATAGTGAGTTAAACCACCGTCTGTGATTTTGGCATCCCAAAGACACTGGTTCCAGTCCCAGCTGCCCCACTTCCAATTCAGCTCTCTGTTAATGGTCTGAGAAAGGGAGTGGTAAATTTTTGGCTTAAATTTTTGGAGCATTGTTATTCACATGGTAGACCCAGATGAATCTCCTGGTTCCTAGCTTCAGTCTGGCTCCAACCCAGCCATTGTGACCATCTGGGTAATAAAACAGTAACTGAAGATCTTTCTATTTCAGAAACATTAGTAATATATTTTAAGGAATGAGATGACAGCCATCTTATGCCACAAGAGACTTCTTTCTTTCATAAAAAAATAAGTGGTTCCTCAGGAGCACTGGACTATTGTTTTAGATGCCTGTGTCCTACATTGGAGTGTTTGGATTAGATTCCTGGGTGCAGCCCCTGATGTTTGCTGCCAGTCACTTCATGCCCCTGGAGGTAGCATAGAGCTGGGCTACGGCCACCCATGTAAGACACCAGGATTATATTCTTGGCTCCTATTTTTGACCTTGTCTAGGTCCAAGTGATATTCAGCCACAGTGATTGTGAGTATCTGAGGGAAGAACTAGCCTCTTGCAGCTCTATCTCTCAAATAACAAGGAATTTTCATAAGTTAAAAAAAATAAGTAATTTTTTCTGCTGAACATGGTTATTGACTGGTACTCTAAGTTGTCTGGATAACGGAAAGCAAAAAATTGGAAAAAATTACCACTAGCTTCTTTTTCACATTTGGTTTAAAAACAGCAAGCCTAAATTTATGTCTAATATATATTTTAAAATACACTAATATATACATGAATAAGAAACAAATTGGTCAGAGAGGCTTTTCTTCTTTAAACGTTAATTCAGATAAAATTGCGAGAGTTCCATAACCATACAATTGTTTTTAAACTACAATACAAAGAATGACAAAGTTTTACCTTGAGTGGCAATATAATGGCTTGGTCTTTGGTAACCCTAAAATAGGGGGACAAATTGGTTATTATTTTACATCAATATCGGAAGTAAATAATGAAGGCATAAAAAGATGAAGACAACCACCTGTTAAGGTTAAGCTATAGTAAAAATCCAGAAATGAGCAGTGAACATGTAGCTCACTTCTCAAACTTATGTTATCTGCAAGGTAAACATAAAAAATTAAATACTTCAAAGGCTCTGATCAGAATATATATTTTATAATTGAGTTTTATTTATTACTTAAAAACCGCAAAGATTTTGTTTGGTTTCACTAAAATGTTTATGCCTTCATGTCAGTCATTAGCCAGTCATTTTTGGTAAAATTGTGTTTAAAAATATCAGTTCTCATTTATCATTCAAAAGTACAACACACTGCATTACAGATGGACAAGGACATATTAGCACCATAAAAAAATAACAGAACATTCCAATGTTAGAGCTGGACAATGCATGTGTGCAACAAATCAAAGTACTGCTGAGATCTTTCGGTTGTGGCTCTAAAATATGTTCAGGAATCTACAACGATTTTACGTGTGCTGGTAATGCTAATGTGCACACATGGAATTACAAGTACACACATATGTAGGGAAAGATTTTCTAAGGATGTATCTTATCCTGAACAAAAAGTTTACTCCGTTTTATTTCAGCGCTCCACAGCTGTTTGTAGTTAAACACTGAATGCAGTTTGAACCAACAAATTGTTCCTATCAAAAGAAGGAACTCTTAGTTTATCTCAATTGATTTGAATGACAACAGATCAAAAATTTCAGAAAAGTTGGTGATAACAGAGTTCATTTTTTTTTTTTTTGGAGTGCTTTGCTCATTTACCAAAGGGCTTTAATCAATGCTGATAATGAAATTCACCCAGAATTTGGTGTGGGCAATTTAATACACATGCAAATGTAACTGAACTCAGACCTTCAAACTAAAATCTAATGCAGTGAACACTGCACTGCTCAAAATCAGAAGATTTCTGTTTTTTAATATACCAACCTAACGCAATGTTATATGAACATCCCCCACCCCAAGCTTTACAAGGATATAATCTCCTATTCCTTCTGACAAATGTAACAACATCAGTGGTGTCTTTTTAGTAAAATAAACTAATGGAACAGGAAAACTTGTAATTCTGTGTAGCAATCAGTCAAAATGCTTAGAGTCTTAACAGAATGATCGGATGGTGTCTCCTTTAGAACACAGTCCTACTAAAGGAAACATGAGGTATATTACAACAAGGTCCCAGTGATTCTACCTTGGCAGAGAAATAAGGAAAAGCAAAATGGGCAAGAACAATGAAAAAAATCTATCATGGAGCTGATTTTTCTAACTATACAGGTTAGATCATTAGCTTACTTTTCATGATACGCCGGATCATTTTAAATACTGAATGAGTATATGATCAAGATTTTTTCAATATCCTTAAATTATCATTAGTAAAATATATTTCTTCAAATAATAATAATAATTCACAAAGAAGCATAACCTATGAGCTCGATCAATGTGATTAAATGTGATAAGAATTATTTTCTACTTATGGCAATTAGAAAAAGTTGGGACCGAAGTTTCACATTTCCAATGTGTGTAACAGTATCATAGAATGTAATTTGGTATTTCTACCCATAATTATGTATTTTTGGAATTCATTACGCTCAGCATACCTACATTTTAGTTGCGCAAAGGTATCTGAAGCATAATAAGTGCTGTCTACACATCATGTTAAATGTTCTCCATGCATTGATTCATTTACTTTTCACCTCAAAGTGCTGGGGTTACACGTAATTAATATTATCCCTATAAAAACTCAGGGAACTGAGCCACAGAGAAAGAGAAGTGACATTTCTGAGAAGTCCAATATGATCTTGAACCAGCTACCAAGACTCAACAGCCTATCCCCATATACATAATATAATACAATATTTCTTATTTGATAATTACTTTTCTTCAAATTATTAACTTGCAACTAGATATGTATATAACCATAAAATTTAACAGTGAAATATACAACCCAAGCAAACTTTTTCACTTTTGCAACGGGATATATATGTGTGGTGTGTATTTTAAAATTGCAATTTGCAAATTATTTTGCCTGAGTAAATTCATCACCTCACAGTCCAATCCCACACACTACAAAATGGGCTTTAATGTCAGAGATAAAATGTAAAAAGTAAAATTTCATAAAACTACTACACATCATACTATCCAGCATCTCACATATGTTGTGGGAAGGGTAAGAAGAAAAAAAAAAAAAGCCAGAAACAGAAATCATCAACAAATAAAACTTGAGGACGTAATACACTGTTGAAGCTAAAAACGCTCCCATATTTCTAGACAAGAAAAGGGAAGGAGGTCAAATACATCTTTACACGTATAAAAAAAACTACAGAAAATGAACATAGATCTACTGTATGGAGCTGGTTAGGTGAAGCATGCAGAGATAACTAGTAGAAAGCATTAGTAGTTACTGAAATTAAGAATATTTATAGTAAGTATTTATAATAGGGTGCTGTTATTTACATATAGTGGTACTTACATCCCTGTACAGCCAAATCTACAGCCCAAACCAAAGTCAGGTGTGAAAGAAAGCACAACAGCGTCAGTAAGAACTAGGACGTAGAACAAGGAAAAGTGTACAGTTTGTTCTTAATTTTACAAAGGTAGTAATCACTGTATATGTAATAAGCAAAAATGTTTACTTTCATAAGTCAACAAGTAAATCTACTGAAAAACAAAAATACTTACATCTATATAGTTGGCATTAATGTAATCTGAAGAAGGATCATCCTCAACAGGTTGCAAAATTACTCTGGAGTGGTCATCTAAAATTTTATAACAATAGTTATAGTTTTTAAATTCCCTGTCTATTTTGAGACAACATCATGGGCAGAGGCTTAATTCAGTGATGCCAATACTCTAGCATGGTACATGACTATCGTATCAGCCCTCTGACAAAACAAAGCCCTTCAGTGAGTTCACTAAGTTATTATACTCTGCCACTTCAAACATCTTGCATCTTCATGGTTTGGAAGTTTTGGGCAACATGACCTAGTCTGTCAAATCATTTCAGTCACTGACTTGAACAAAGGGTTGAACTTACTAGCTTCTACTTTTGATTTCTACATTTGATTTAAAATGGGTAGGGTTCTTTTCTTATTCGTGTTATAGCCAATGGGCCACACAACCAAACAATGAGCTTTGACAACTTAAATGTAGAATCCAGCTTACATTTTCGTGTGGTAAGACACTTTAAACTGATTTAAATTGAGAAGAGAGTGGTCGAAATAAATCAACAGCTAGTTCCAAGTTAAGTACCTGTTACTTTCTTCATTCCTCCTTTGGTTTCATAAAATGACTTGATCCCACATAAATATCTTGAAAGTTGACCACAAGCAATTCCGAAATGATATCAACACACCAAGTAAGGCATACAAGTTTGTGGAAAGGTAATTCATCCTTGAGTGTTTAGTGAAGTGATATTCTTAGCCGCTAAACAACACCCCATGCATTTATACACAAACATGAATACCAACAGTAGGTTATCTCCACTGGCAAAGAGCCTGAGTCAATAAAATTAATGATGATGACAATTTCATTATCACTGCTAATAGCCAATGCTGTTAATATTAACCAGATCATTATATAAACAGATATCCTACGGACTGGGATTTTCTGACACTGTAAAAGCCACTGTTTATCTTTGTACACACAACGCTTTTAAATTCATCAAGAATTGTAAGGGAACTTACATGCAATAATGTTTCCATATCGGTTTTTTGCTCTATTTTGATCTTTCTTAGCAACATCCCAAGATGCTGACTGTCCTTCAAAGAAACTCTAAGGAAAAGAAGAAATAACATGCTGAATTTAAGTCATTTATTTGAAACAGGTTTATCATTTCTGGAAATTAAAATAGTAAAAGCCACATTCTCAGCAGAATTCCAATCGTGATGAATTTTTCTCTCAACCTCAAAGTGGGTTTGTTGGACTCACACTTCCTCATTTGGACTGGATTAAATTCAATTAGGGCAAAAAATAATTTTGGACAAAAAAAAAGAATCCTGAAAGTACTTCAAATTTCACATCACTATAATTGTTTGATATTGAAGTCTAAAAATGATCATTCTCTTCAAAATGTAATGAATAATAATGCATTAAAATTTGCAAAAAATAATTTTGATGAGTGTATTTCAAATTTGTCACAGAAAAAAATACTGTGCTTCCTTCCATAATTTTCATTAAATCACATGTGATACATATATCACATTTTAGTTTCTTCGAAGATAATGAAAAGGACTGACTCTACAAGGGATCATGCTGAAATGAAAGAGAATCGCCTACTCTATGAAACTGGGAACAGAATTTGTTGGTTGATTTAACTGCCAGCTGCAGCAGTGAATACAGATCTGCTTTTGCAGAAAAACGTAAACTTGACTCAAAGGAGGAAGTGGGGTCTTCAAAGCACCAATCGCTTTTTAAGTGAGGTACACAGAAACGCCCACAAAATGAACAAGAACGAAAACCAGCAGAAAATTCTAATTCTGGGCAATCATTTTGTGACTACAACATGCTTATTTCTACCACATACCTAAAACCAACCTTCACTATTCAGACATAATTTTTTTCCTTCAGGAGTTAATGTATAAAAGTAATCTGCTGGTACAAGGCAGAGTTTAAAAGATTTTTCACAAAAGTGGATATATGATGTTTTAAAAAGAAGTATAGATTGGATTCCTTCACTTTAAATGCATATGAGCTGTGGTGTGTGAATGGGTCTCAGACAGGCTGTTTCTTTCCTTGTGGTAGCCTGACCCTGTTTTGTAATTGCAGGGCAGCAATGGAACTTTTCCTACCACCCTTTTCCCCCTAAATCCCGCCCTGAGCCTGCCATTGTTTCTGGAATGTTCAATTTAAATAAGTGTTTTTGTAAGACAAATTTTGGCATTTTTGGTTATAGTTAGGAGGGAAAATGAGGTTGAATTTCCCATATCCTTTTTTTTTTTTTTTTTGCCTTTTCAGTGTTATTTACAGGGTACTCTGCTTTTTTTTTCCCTGCCACCTTCAATAATTCATAAAACTAAACTGAATTGGGGAATTAGGGTTAAGGTTAAATAATCCATAAAACTAAACTGAAGGTGGCATTTAGAGCACAAAGCTGTCTCCTCCTCAATCAGAGGGTCAGCAAGCAATGAGGCCAAAACATAACTGTGACTGAAGTCGTATGGCATTTAGACCTTAAGTGCCACACCACTTGATTTTTGAATGATGAAACATAAGTTCTCACAAAATGTGTTTTAATTACATTGTAGAATACATCAAGAAAACCAACATTAAAATTTCTCATAAAGATTCAGACCCAAGTCTGTGCCTAGAAGGAGCAGTCCGTTCTTTCAGGTCTATCTCTCCTCCCCATAGCCTCAGTTTGGGCCACTGGATTCGGCTGCTGGTGGAGCCCTGCTTTCCTTGTTAAGCTAAAGGGAGGTGAAAATGGTCAGTTCCACTGAGCATCAGGATAACAATCATATTGAATTTAGTATTAAAACCTTCACCTCATATTCCTCTTTGAACCCATAGCTGTCCGATGTCTTCATTAGATTAATGTGCTGCAGCAGGTCGGCTACCCTGATGGCTGGGTGCAACTGTCCTGTCTGGTACGGGGATTCTGTCCCCTCACAGAGGTAGCGAGGTACATCCAGAAGGCGGCTGGATTCTGCTGTAGCACTGTGGTTTTCATCTGGCATTTTTGTTTCAGATCCAAGAAGATTAAAAAAAGACAAAGTTATCTTGTTTAATATACATTCATTCAAATGAGATATCAGCCCTTAAGATCTTGCTGATGACAGGAGAAAGGGAAAGAAATGTCAGAAAGTAGAGGCCAACGGCAGCATCCCTACACAGACTTAGCTTTAGCATCTGACTGCAGCTCAACATTTGAGGCTGCAGGATATTGTGTGTGTATCAGCAAGACCACAGATGCTGAGGTGTAGGGAGACAGCTGATCCATTTTTATAAAGCACCAGTAGGAGATTTAGCTGAGTTCTTAGTTTTCTTGTATCTGCAATCATAGCCTTCTAAAGGCGGAGCTGAAGGATGAAGGTGTCAATAGTAGCATTGTTTTCATTATCCATTAAGGTGGACAAACTCTTTCCCATTCATATCCCAACCTCCCTCAGAAACCCCACCTGGCAACCCATCCTTTGATCATCTCTCCCTTGTAGAGTGTCTGTGGCTTCTTAAAACAGCACACTCCAGACTGGGAAACATGTATATACTCAGAATCACCCACACCCTGCGTAGTTTACTTGCTAGGCCACAGGTGGACTTATATTCAATCTGTGCCCTGGGAGTTTACTCTTACTGTTGTGGTTTTGTTGCTAACATTTTGATTCTACTGGCTACTGTGTGAGAGACACAAAGGTGTGCTTGTGGAGCAAAGTCCCAAGTGCCTTCTTCGGAATTCTTCCCTCATCCAGGCTGAGCACACAGCTACTGTTTGATGTTCCCATAGATTTCTGTGCTATGGATTGCTTCACTCACCCTGCATGTTCACCATTGACTTGTCTATTGTCTCACTAGGCCTCTGAGGGCTACAGTGCATAGGCAGTCATGTTATTCTTTTTATTCCAAGCATCTGGTGCATGACAGTCACTCAATAAATATTTCAATGAATGAATGAGTTAAAATCAACTGAATCCCTCACTACCCACGTTTTAAGCATAAGTTGCATCCCGATTGTGTTATCATCTTAGAATGAAGAGAAGCTTAATTGTCTTTCTCTCACAAGAAGAAAAGGACAAGCACCTTTTGCCTATGAAGAATAAACAGGATTTTAATGACCGAAGTATTAATTGTTACAATGAGAAGCATGCCTTTATTTATCACATTTAAACTTACCACTTTAAAAAACAAAAACAAATGTTTCTATGGGTGTTACTTTGAAAAGCATTATAGTGTAATATTCATTAACAGAAGAGAACGTACACTCTTAGGGGAACTTTTGCTTTTAATGGTAATGCATACTGTAGAGAATGATATTTAACAGTTAAACAGAGTTCAAGAACTGGTACATTGGCCTGTGCTATCAACAACTCTACAAATAGGATATGGCAAAAAATGAATTGTTGTCCCCATGATAAACATTTTTTCTTCCTGGAGAAGGAAAAAAAAAACAAAACCCTACAATCAGTTCTGTGTGCCTCTGCAATTTAGCGTGATTGCATTTATCATCTCCCCTCTTAATAAACTGAATGCATTTTTTTGTTTGTTTTGGATTCATTCCTAAAAAAAATACCACATGGAATCAAAGAAAATCCTTGGTGGTTTTTGCTGTGGCTTAACCACTTGCGCAAATTAACACTTTTCGTTCGGATTTTGCCCACCCCTTTATGTACAAACAAGCTAAATAAACATTATCGAAGACTTTCCTCCTTTTACTATGAGACTATACCCAACTCATGTGCCTTTCCTGAAGAGTTACAATTACAGAGTAGTATAAAGCATATATACATAGCCCTCAAATAAGTAATTTAGCAGCAACTGTTTTGGGCACTCTCACAGAAAGAATATACAGCTGGAGATGAGGAGTTGAGAGAACAGGTAAAGACTTGAGGGAAAATGTAATCACGTAAACTGGTAAATCAGGTAGCTGTGGTGCTACAGAACAGCCCCATGGCTTACACTGCACCTGCTGCAGTATATTTACAACAATACGAACTTCAGTGAGAAACACAGAATTCACTCACACTCCAAATCTTACACATGATTATGCTGCAATACTGAAATAGCGGCTTTTGCTTTGCATTAAGCTTTAATACAGTAGAACAAGGAGCAGTACCTTCTTTAAAATAATCACATATGAATTATTAATTCTAATACATTTCCACCTCATTAAACTACCTAATAATATGACTACTAGTGAGGGTACATATACTGATCATTATCCTTATTACACATTTAAGAACAATAACTTCAAATCCATCCTTGATTAAAAGGTTTTCTAGAGTTCATTGCAATACACTTACCAGTTATAGGGACTTAAACCCAATGAAGCAGTAAAACACACACACACACACACACAAAAACACAAAAATATGAATCAATATGAAAAGATTCCAAGTTGCTTTAGGTCAACAAGTAGATATCAATATAAAACAATATTTGAGGTGATTTCAAAAATTGCCTTATAAATACAAAATCAGTTGGATATAAAACTACTGTATACACCATGATTTTAAGAATGATGAAAAAATACAACACACAATTTCTAGATCTAATATGATTAGTGACAGGTTTAGCTTGCAAAGAATGTCAATATTGTGCTTCTTTTTAAAATAAGAAGTTTAATTTTCAAAATGAAATAAAATGCATAATGAATGCCTATGTGGGTAATTTTACATCTGTTTTGTGTTAATGCTAACCTTTCTCAACAGAACTGTCTATTTTCATGGGGAGAATTACTACAATAACTCTTTAAATGTTATAGTTCTTAAAACTCACAGGAATCATCTTTCTCATTAAAGTCATGGCAGAAATTACACCATTTTAAAATATTAGGAGCCAAACATTACTTTTTTTAAACTGAGTTCTTAGTGGAACTCCACAGGGAGGCTGCAAGCTTGGCATAATGCTTAGAAAAAAAAAAAACCACCGTAATAAAGATTGAACATTTAAGGAAATGGATTTCTCTCAATGAGTTTCTTATTGATTTTACCAAAATCCATTTTGTGATTGGATGCACTGTATTGTGGTGCCCAACAGATGTTTCCAGAGGTATCTGGTACCTCCCCAGTGATCACCTGTGATGGTTCCTCCTTGTGCAGTCAGCCACCCAATTCAGCAAAATGCCCCAGTTCACTGTTTTGCCCCAGTTGGTGTGAAGAACAAAGGGGAGGGAAAGGCAATCAGGGAAGAACTCCTACTTGCGGTTTATTTTAGAATGTTTACTTCTTATATCTGTTATACATTTTTATAATTTTAAATATTTGTCTTCATTTGTAAAATATGTTTCTAGTTAACTAAATTAAATATATTGATTCAAATTTTAAAAAAATCAAAATTTAAAAATATACGAATAACAATCAATGCCTAAGATGTAGTTGAAAGCTACATTTTTTTTGTAGGAAAAATTAACTATAAAGAGCAAATGTGGCATTTGGGAATTTTTAGGGTACATGTAAAACACATAGATATAAAACTGATTTGAAATTTGTGAATATATATGCAAGCTGCTCATGAATCACTAGTGTACAGTTAGTCAAAACTAGGGTACAACTTTAAGTGAAATCTATTCCACTCTGAAATATGGAACTAGACAAACATGACGACCTTATGACCACAAGGAATTCCAGTTGTTTTAGATTGTACATGAGAACACTGAAAAAAGTTCCTGGAAAAATATAATTAAAAGATCAGCTTTCTTAGATCAAAAACTTTCAGATCTACGTAAAGTGTTTTCATAACATGCGTTTTCCATGAACTTTTTGAGGACCCTTCACAAGTGATCTACAGAGTGGCTTGTTCTTCTAAATTTCTTGAACAGCAACACTACATATGCAAAGTGCCGGACCTCACAGACTCTAGCCAAGTTGGCTCTATTTATAAATTCTTTTTAAAGAAAATCTAAAGTGAATTGTACACAGCCCTAGTGTTGACTTTACACATGCGCTCTTTTGTGCTACAAAATTAGGAGGCTTTGGATAACTGAACTCCTGTCACACAGACACTCCCATTCAGGCAGGACTGACCACTGAGGTCTGTGCTTTACAGTTTACTATGCTAACTTAGGTGTGCTTGACACTGTTGTATATTAGGGGGCCAGGCTAATTGAAAATCCACTAATCCATTAGATCCAATCGGTTGAAGAGCTGCTCTCGTTGATAAGCCTATGGCTGTCATTTTCAAAATTAAGTTGCTTCCTGCACTATAAATAATTATGATGTAGAAAAAGATAGCCCATGCAAGGAAGCATGATCCATGCAGGAAAAAAAAATAACATGATAAAGATTTAGGGCCTCACCTAACACAGCAGTCGGCACAAGTGGATCATTGGGCACTGTAGGAAAACAAAGCTCATGAAGTAATACGTTGTTCTAAAGCTGCATTTTCTTCTTTAAAATAAATTCATGCTTTCAGGAGGAAAATAATGATTAAACCTGCTCTGATTACTGTATTCTAAGAGGTAAAAGTTCTTTCTTCCAGCTTAGGTTATTCCAAAACATAGAGAAATGTCTATCATGAATTAGACCTCAGTACTCTTTCAATTTAAAAAGATAAAAATTGAAGTTGACAGAGACATGGCACACCTGTATGTTTAGAAAAACCTACTTTCGAGAATCGATAGAATTTTGTGTTTTCCATCCTCTTGATGCCATCAAGGCATAAAATACATAGATCAGAAAAAACTTATTTAGATTAAATCTAAGCCCCAGAATGATTCATACTACACTTGTAATTACAAGGTACATGCACATATAAGCAAAAATGATGGCCTGTATTTAGAGCTAATAATTGCTGAAAAATTTCACCAAGCTAAGCAATTCAGCAAAAAGCTTCCTTTTGAAAATACATAAGCCATACGAACTATACTTTTCTTTCAACTTTAACATTATGAATATTTATAAACAAATAGGACATAATAGTCATGTTCATTGCTCTTCTTGTACCTGTTTTATTCAAATGCTGATAAGTATACCACTGCAAATTGCATGTCTATCTAAAAAGCCACAGATAATACTGATTTGTCTATCTCAAGAACCAATTTTGCTACAAAGATAATTTAACTTAATTAAATGAAAATAAACACAAGAAATTTTGAACAAAACATGAAATTCTTAGGAAGTTTGAAGACAAATAATACTGATCCTTGGATTATGATTTAAACAATTTGGCATTAAGAAAAATTGAATGAAAATGTTATTTTTTACGATACATTTTTGTTATTTGAAAGGCAGAGTTACAGAATTAGAGGGAGAGTTAGAGGGGTCTTCTATCAACTGGTTCACTCCCCAGACAGTCACAATGACTATGGCTGGGCCAGGATGAAGCCAGGAGTAGGAGCTTCTTCCACATAGATGCTACTTAGCCCAAGCACTAGGGCTGTCCTCCACTGTTTCCTGGGTGTATTATCAGGGAGCTGATACGGGAGATGGAGCAGCGTGGGCTCAAACTGGCACCCATATGGGATGCCAGAACTGCAGGAAGCAGCTTAATCAGCTATGTCACAGAAGCTACTTCAGTGAAACTACTTTAAAAACAGCAGTTTTTTTTTTTTTAAATAAATTCAGACTCAAGCTGCATGACACTGCCTTGGCAAAGGCATTCTACTACTGTTTCCTGTGGAGACTGTTTTTGGTGAGACTGGCTAACAGGCAAGTAAAACTGTGTTAAATTTCAAATCATTCCTACTTTCTTTCCTTAATAATCCTTTTTACTCTCTGCTTAAATGTTCTTCAGCTGTGTTTATTTCCAGAGAAACAATATAAAAACAGGGAGAAAAGTTACTAGCTTTATTTAAAAATTTATTTATTAAATGTATTTACATGCCAAATATATAATTATATATCGATATATAACTATATAAATAAATTCATGTTATATTTAAACATATATTAAAAGATTTGTTTATTTTTAAAATAGTCATTGGAAATACAAATCGGAAAATCACTCTCAAGGATCAGCATTATAAATTCCTAGTTTGATGGGTATGTGGATTTCATTCCTTGCAAATCATGATAATCAAGTATGGTTTTACACTTCACATTAGCCAATTGTTGCACAAAGACTAAATTCAATTTTAGTAAATTTTATAGTATGGAATTTATCCAGGACTCTAGTAAGCCATTTTAATGAAATGATTTCATCTAAAATACTATATCTAAAACACATTAAAAGAAATACTGTTACCTCTTTTCCCAACATTCACCTTATCTTACATAAAGGAAGAAAGTAAATGGTAAGATAACAAATTTTGAGATGAATTTATGTAGGCAAATACATTACCTTAAGAAAATGATATATGATATGTTCTGAGTGGTTTATGCTTGGAATGTCACTATGAAACAGCAATTAAACTCTTATTTTTAAAACTAAATCCAGAGTAAAGTCTGAATGTAAGTCATCCCATTATATTCATTTTTTTCTCTCTGTTTCCTCCCTATTCCTAAATTTCTCTCATTAAGTAATGTGTAGGAAATTATATAGAATCCAAAGGTAACTCAACATGTGTCAGCATCACTTACTAAAATGTTAATGAAATACTTACATCTGGGGCTAAAATTATGCTGGTCCATGAAGGTGATGGAAAGAGGATCTTCTGCATGCAGAGTGCTCTGATCTGCGTAACTTCGATCCATCGCATTCACCATGTGAGTCATTTCCTGCCGGGTGTTCCCCATAGCATCTTTGCGTTTTTTAGCAAGTTTGCTGCCAAGGTAAATACAAGGGACCTTAGGCTTGAACCTGAAGGAGAACTGACACCAGCAACGAGTAATTCTAGTAAGCTTGTGGTTAAGGTTATAGATATAAATTTAGAAACCTTAAGAGTTTATCATAATTCCAGCAATTAACCTTGACATCCAAATATGTTTATTGGTTATGATGAAACTATTTTGTCACCTTGATATGACCATATTCAACCTGTCAACCCAAACTTGTCTGATGGTTACCTATATTTTATTTGGCCAAAATAAAATCACAAGCATATACATATGTTTCATTAAAAGCATAAATAAGTACTTCTTAACTAGAGTAGTTCAAGGAAACTTTAATATACGTTTTGGTCTTCCTCCTGGGTGATTAATCCTCTTGATGAACTTTTAGATGTTCTTGGGAACAACTTATTTTTTCTGGTTTGTTTTACTGATGCAACCCAAAGAAAGCAAACAGATCAGTTTCATTCTTCATTCTCTGTACTATTAATTAACAAAAACTGCAATATGTGTAGTACTAACATACTAAGCAACACTTTTATATATGAAGTTAATCAAAATCTAAAGTAGTCTGATGGAATCCATCATGAGTAGATGAAACTCAAGCACATTAATATATATGGAACAAAATATAAAACGTGAAACAGGAGTTTTACCAATTGTATGCAAAGGTATAATGCAAAAGCATCATCAGTTTGAGGTTTGAATGCTTAAATCCTAAAAACGTGATTCAGAATCTAACAGCAGAGTATCTGTACTACAGCAATGCCTTAAATGTATATCAGGGCAAATGATTTAGCAATTACTGGACTTTTTGAATTTTGAATGGATGTAATATTGATTATTGTATTTTACATATTAAAGTACTTTGTAAGTGTTACACAAGGGGAAGGCAAGTGAAAGTAAGCAAAATATTTGATTAATGAAAAAAATAATTTACATATGATACAAAAATCCCTAAAATACTATATCAGGAAAAGATGGCACCAAGTTTATAGCAACACTTTAAGTTGCAATGTAATTCCTATTTGGTGTTTTAAGAACAATGTCTGTCAACTCTGTGGATATAAGGTACTATATTTTCTGCTGGTTCTTTTTGGTATCTGTATCAGTTAGACAGGGTGAATGTACTCCAAATAATATATAAGCTCATTTTATATGTTGAGTGTATGTGCAAAGATTTTTCCTTTACAAAATCAAACTAGAAATTTGAGAGCTGCTCTCGTGTCAAATTTTTTCCTTTGATAATTATAGTACTTGTCTTTAGTGAGTGTATATGCAACATACACAACATACTGACACCACAGATCTGATAAGTAAGTCATAAACAAAGATTTGAAGGTGGGTCCATTTTATTGTAGAAATAACAATCATGGTATTAGTAATAGTGACAAAGGCACAAGAACTACCATCACTACCAGCACCACTATCACTACTATGACAGTAATACCATCACCACCATCACTACTAACAATAATTACTCCACACTTAGAATGAGTTGTTATCACACTCTCCTAGGCATTGAGAAAAGGCCACACACAAATGTTCAGGTTTCCTTCACTGACCACAGATGGCACTGGTAAATGATGACTGTGAAGAGCTGAGAACTGCCTGGGCAACTTGCTTAACTGACTACTGGCATTTGATGCTGTGCTAAAGCTCTGATACAACTTTGTTTTAAAAAAAAGAAGACCTACATCTGATAGTTTGTAATCATTTCATTGATTTTTTTTTTTTTGTAGACCATCAGTGGGCCTAATTAAACAATGTCAAGTCATAGTTCACTTGCTGAAGCTTACTCTATTCTAGCATATATAGGATGCTTACTCATTCATCCACAAAATTCTTTTTCTTGTGCTATCTGGCTCACTCCTGTCACTTCTCTCTGAACGTAAGGATGGTTTGCTGGGGAGGTTTTCTAGGACTGATTGCACTGCAACCCATTTCAAGATAGGTTACCATGCTATTTCTTTCTTCTTTGTCTCCCTCCTTTATTCCTTCTTTTCTTCCTTCCTTCCTCCCTCCCTATTTCTATTCTTCCTTCCCTTCCTTCTCTCTTGTTCTCTCCCTCTCTTTTGTTTTTTGTAGCAAGAGCTCCTCCCTCCTTGAGAGCAACCATCCCATTCTATTCCATGCACCTTCCCCCCTATTGTTTGATCCACAAAAAGAAGGAGCATCTGTGTATCTTGGCGTTTGCAGCTGTGTCTGGCACACAGCAGGAACCCAATAAATACTCATTGAATAGAAAAATTAAGCCTGTGTAGTACTTGGCATTTCTCATTTGTTAACTCAATTAATTCTAAAATCAATCTACTGAATAGGTAAGGGGTTCTAATTGTATAGAGGAATTCCTTGAGACTCAAAGGAACTAAATAATTTGCCATAAGTTGTTTACCTAATAAGCAATGAAGAATTACCTAGTTCTAAGACCTGAGCTGTCATATTTAATGGTTCATGGTTCTTTTTAATTGTCACATCACAATGTGTACTATTATAAAAAGCACCACTTATTTTAGGAAATGAGAGGTAATGAATATGTTCAATGGTGGAAGTTTTCATCAATAAAAGACCTTTGTTGCTCAGAGTTACAACATAGAATATTTGACAATTTATGGGGGAAATAACCTTTGGTAATATCTACCAAAGCTGCACTACCAGCTTGGTCCTTATCACATAATCCTCACAACAATCCTGTGATATAGGCGCTCATTCAAATAATTATAAAAAAATAAATATTGATATCAATGTTTTGAGCAAAAACTGTCAACTGTCAATAAATACTATTTTAAATATCAAATTTGCTTTAAGTTCCACTTTAATTTACTTGCACTTTTATAAAACCAGATTAGCACCAGTAGCTATGTTTAAGCACCATCCAAAAGTTAATCTTGGTTGGGGCTGCCACGATGGCAAGGTTGGCTAATTCTCTAGTTTAAGCACCATCATAACATATAGGCTCTGGTTTGTGTCTCTGCTGATGCACTTCCCATCCAACTTTCTACATATGGTTTGTGAAAGTATTGGAGGATGTTCCAAAGCCTTGGGAGCCTGTACTCATGTGGAAGACCTGAAAGAGGATCCTACCTCCTGGCCTTGGATCTGCTTAATTCTGGCCATTGTGGTCATTTGGGGAGTGAATCAGCAGATGGAAAATTTTTCTCTGTTTCTCCTTTTCTCTGTAAAACCTGATCTGCCTTTCCAAAAAAATCATAATAAACAAAGTAAGATTAACATCTTTAAAATCAAAACATTTGCATACAGCCAGGGGCAGCAGTCTAGTGACTAAAGTCCTGGCACAGCTTTTGAAAGGATCCAATATGGGTGCTGGTTCATATCTCAGCTGCTCCACTTCCCATCCAGCTCCTTGCTTGTGTCCTGGGAAAACAGTTGAGGATGGCCCAAAGGCCTAGGACCCTGCACCTGCGTGGGAGACCTGCATGGGAGACCTGGAAGAGGCTCCTGACTTTGCATGGGCTCAGCTCCAGCCATTGCAGACACTTGGGGAGTGAACCAGCAGATGGAGGATCTTTCTGTCTCTCCTTCTCTCTGTAAATCTTTCAAATAAAAATAAATAAATGTTTAAAAAAATCTGCATAACCTATTGTAATGTCTAAAGCATAGAAACATTAACCATCTAACCAGAAGGAAATCCTGCTATGACATTGCAAATATTTGTACATCAGTAGTTAACGGCAAGCTTATTGACATTTTCATACAAACATTTATTGATGTCTTCATGTTTGAAGGTATGTGTCCCCCTGAGCAACCAGCAAACAGAATGTGTACTTTAGGACAGTGAGGCAATTCATTTTGCAACTACTTGTGCTTGACAAATGTGCAAATGACTTTCATTATCAAAGCAGCCAACAGCACGAACTTGTGCAGGTGGATATATGAGTAAGCCATAAAAGAGAAAAGTGTTCCATCACTGTATGAAATAGTACAGTTAATTACCTTTTGCTTCATCAAACATGAATTAACAAGGATATTATGATTTATCACCGAAAGCTACGAACACTGTTAGCTTACACCTGTTTGTTTTAGCAGATTTTAGAATGCCAAGTGTTTACAGTATTTGCAATGTTGGTGGCAATGTGTTATAGTTATTGAGACTCATAAAATTTTGTTGTAGTGCTAGCTTAATTTTAGCTAGTGATAACAAGGCTGCAGGACATATGTCCCAAACATACTGCATGTCAACATTCAAGCCTCAGAAGCTAACGGATCCAATACTGGTCAAGAAGAGCCATGGATGCTTTGTTTTATCTTTCTTTTGGAGCAGAAAATAACTAGTCTGTCATGTAAAATAACCCATCTGTACCTAAATCTACGATGAGTCATGGGCTGTGGGGATAAAAATGACACTGTGCTTGTTCCCATGTAGGCTGATAAGAAGTTATCTGGTCTTTGTTTTACAAAATCTGTGTCCTATTTTATTATAAACAAATTCACCTTTCTTCTCTGAAAACAATTTTTACCTATCCTTGTAACCTTATGATTTTATTAATTTGTTATTAGAAAACTTATCTACCGTCTTAATGGACAAAGCAATGGTGATCTGATGAAACATTCCATGCTGGAGGTCTCAAACTCTGGAGAGAGATAGTACACACGCAGACCTGCAGATATTTCAAATGTTCCTCCAGTACTTTCACTGGCGTCATCTGCTCAAGTGTAGCGATTAATACAGAAAGGATTAGTGGGTTGTAATTGCTCTCTCTCCCTTACTGGATGAGGCTAAGTGTCATCCTGCTCAGATAAGGTACAAGTTTGACTTAAGTAAGTGATGATTTTGGCTGCAAATTTAAGCTACTTATGGAAAATCATAAAGAAAAAAAACAAAAGTAGCTGAACATACAGAAATACAATATCCCTTTTTAAAAAGATTAGCAAGACAGATGATAAGTAAAAAGCCCATTTAGTGTCCAGGAAAATTTAGGTCTGAAATACTACCAAAATTGCAAGCATTCTATTTCGTTTTGTATTTTGTGTTTTTGAAAAGGGATACTGCATCTTCAACACATGTAAAGTTGTACATCACCCATTTTCTACTTACAGGTAGTAGGAGTAAGAATAGTAGCTCCTCCTGGCAAGCAAATCACAGACAGTGGAAAAAGAGAAGCAATGGTGAATGAAAAGCATGACTCTGTCACATTCAATAAAGCAGAAAAATGTGCGTTAAAAAAGAAAATGAAACAAAAGAAAATTCATGTTTTTTTGCTTTGCATTTCAATTTGCTCATGCACTGTTAGAATTCTTTTGCCATGCAATTAAACAGACAGCTATGTAATAGAAAAATAAAATTTAAAATACAAAATTTGAAAAAATAACATGCTGACTTTTTTATTGCCAAAAATCTAAAAAAATTAAATGGGCTGTGTATTTTCAACATGCAGTTAAGCATAGAATCATTCATTAACATCTAAATGTCATGACAAATGGAATAGCTGTGTATAGCGCTTGTGTACTAAACAGACTATTTTTCTTTAGATATAAAACATAAGATTTATTATGTTAATATAATCTAGAATGCATAATGTAGAATAACACATTTCTGGAGGTGTCACTATATTTCAATGGTACATAGGCATACACATAGGCTATATGAATATACATATATACCATATACTGTATAAGATGAAGATATTTCTACAATAGATGCACGTGAAGTTATCACACAAACACATTTACTGTATTTCAACATAATTTCAAATTTATATTTATTTGGAATTATTGATGTGTCCATGCTGTGCATTTAAATACAAAACTAATGGAAAAAATGGCATACATCTGGAAATAATTTAACAGTGATTAAATAAAAAAAAGACTGCATTTTGAAAGGTGCAATATCCCTTTTCTTAGCCTAAAACTTAGTTTATATATACACTCTCAGCTGTAAATTTTTACTCAGTTCCCAACCATTCCTTTACAAAACAACAAAATCACATGGAACTTATTTCAGTATGAGAAATACACCTACAGAAATGATTGCCAATCAGGGATAAAGTCTGGAGGAACTTAATTATCCCCTTAATCATTAAAGGATAAGACACCTTGTATTTCCAACAGTTTTATAATAAATGTATATGTTAACAGGACAGCTACGTTACATAATAATTTTATGAAGAACGTGATGATATTTGATAGTATCATAATATCCTTTGGTGTACGTATATTTATTTTTAAATTAAATCATGGAATCTATGCTTGATACACTATGAGGAAAAGTAGCTGCAGACTTATGTAGGTAATAAAAGTAGTCGAGTAATTTAGACATATATAAGGAATTAACCTATGGAGCTTTATCAGGTTACAGCCTTGCCTCATCTTAAGTGAGATCCCTAGCATACTTTCTATCAAAATCCATTAAAGCAGAAAGATGAAAACCTATGTCAGACTTTTAATCAACTTGGTTACTCAACCTTTAAAATATGAACCAGAAAATTTTGTTTTACATTATGCAATTTTAGAGAGTTGTCGGTGCGTTTCACTATTAACCCCACCCAAGACTTGCTTAGAGACTGTTTATTTTACCTGATTTTCAAAATGCTAATGTTATCTTAAAACAAAGAGCCATGGATGAGAAAGGGTAATCAAAACCAAGTAAGTGTTTCCAAATTACTAAAAAATATAACTTAGTTTAACCCAATGTTAACTGAGCAAGGACATAACCAGAAGCCACTTTCATGACCATAATCAACCCGCAGTGACCAGCATAATCTTCATTGTGAAGCAAGGACTGGCTTGGCCTTTGGCCTACTGTTTCTGTGACGCTTCATGCATATGTAAATGTAAACTAAACACAGACATAAGATCTGAAAGTGATCTTCATTGACCTTTATTGGCAAACTGGTATTTTTAAAATACTTAAACCTTCTTGCTTCACATATAATAATCTTCCGACCACAGTGGTAGACAACAGCAAAAGGAGAAAGCACTATTTTGGGAAAGCACGTATGTAGCTAATTTAACACAAAATACTATAATGCATACCTAATGTTTCTAATGCAGATGTGTCTTCTCCAACATATATATCTCCAAGGGATAATTGTAAAGAGGCAATATATTAAAATAAACTCTGATGGAATTGTTAAAACATGTAAGTATGAGTCTTATCTAAAAGTTCATGCCTTAATTCAAGTATAAAATAACTATAATAGAAAATATAGAACATGATGTAATATAAACAGCATCATTTATTTTACTATTCAATCAAATTCATAAGGTCCAACCATGTCTACACACAAAAGTATTTTAGGACTGAACTTGTCATTTAAATATATATATATTTTAATCCTTCCAAATGATAGCACTATCTAAAATACATTACTGAAAAGATTGGGCTTGTTTTCATGACAATGCAGTAAAGATCAGGACATTAATAATGGCAAATCAAATCAACTTATAAAACTCTAAATGTTGAAATGTTTTTCAACAATATACTTCAATTTCCAGAATAAAATTCAGTTTAAATTCCAACAAGTCTTAATGTGTTCCTACAATTCCAGAAGGTGGCGATATTGGTTGGTATAGTATAAAGGACTAATATGCAAACAAAAACAATTTACTCTTAATTTTAAAAGGCGGATTATTTTTGCCAGTGGATATTTAATACACAATTTCATGAAATAATGCTTATTTTCATTTTTGTGGCAAGGCTTGGAAATATGGAAAAGTAACAACACAAATCTATTCAGATAACAGCTCAGGTATCACAGTAAGTTGATTTTTGTCACTGAGGATTTCAAACATAAGATAAATGAACATCTCATGGATCTTTGCATTTCAGAAATCCAAGTCCTTACATTAACTTCAAGGTTAACAATGCAAATGTTTATGTTTATACCCCAAATTAAACTGTAAGGACTCAGCTAAAGAGCATAAGTAATATGCCCAGGTGCTGGTCACACTTCCCATATTTTCCCTCCTCATTTTAAAAGCTTAAGAGAAAAAAACAAAAAAACAAAACTAAAGTGTTTGGACACCAGGGACGGAGGTGGCAAGTGAGTGGCACAGTGCCTTGTCAGTCTTACCTCTTTTTGACAACTAACACGACAACCAGGAGGAGGAGGACGAACACAAGAATTCCGGCACTAATTCCTGCTATTTTCACCACTCGGTCTGTCTGCTTGGCAGGATCGGGTATCACTTCTGGCTCTTCTGTTGCTGCTGCTAAATGAATCATACAAAATAAGTTCCTGAAATTAACTAATTACGACAGAAGGAAAAAGATCTCCAGCCAATACTATCCCCAAAGACAACAGGATTTATCAGCTTGGAATAAAAATAATCTGAAAATATAAATACTAAATTACAGCATGTGACATGTGGGGTCAAAGTCAGGAAAACTTTTCTAACTACAAGTTTTTCTTTTTTTTTTTTTAAACATAAAACATAATCCAGAAATAAGCACTAAAGGGAATGAGGAACTATGTTTGTTTTCTATAAATGCTCTTAAAATTCACAAAGCAAGATTTTAGTAAATAGAATATAGGAAATACTATGGGGTCATAGATAGATGCTCCTTTTTGTCAGTTCACCCACCAAACACATACTGACCGCAAGACAAGCTGCTGTGTTTGGTGCTTTCAGGAGTGGCCATGACTGGCTGGGTCCCAGGCTTAAGGAGGAATAAATACATGCTCCAATGGCTGGAGCCATGAGTTCAAGACTTAATAAAGAAGATTTTGATATGAATAATTAGTCTGGCAGTAGAATAATGGAAACATAACAGATGCATAAAGGAAAATCTCACATTCATCAACCAACTAAAGTCCAGATTACAAAAAATATGAGAACTTTCAAAGATGATTTTTAAAACTATATATGCTCACTTCCTTTTTCACAACCACCCATCAGTATAGACATGCACAATTAACATCATCAGCCTTAATCAATTTATAATCCCCAGTAACTCTGAAGGCATTACCAGTTTTCCTCATAAACCCTGAAAATTGGCAATGGAAGTCATACCACGCTTACAAATGGAGAGAAAAATCAGAGGCTTAGAGAATCAAGGATAGATTCTATATTGCGTGAGAAAAGTGGCAAAGTCTAATACTTTTTTTAAATGTTTCAATATAGCATTTATCAATGCTTCCAGAGACCCCTTTGCTAAGAATCTGATAACAGCCCAGATGATTCCGAGGATTGACTTCGGGAAACTGCCTTATGCTACCACCGTAGTGCCTTGCGTGCAGCATCAAAAGCTGATGACTGAATGAACACACACAAATACATCTTTAAAATCTAATCTCATCTCTTTCAATGACCACCTTGGAAGTTTTAGTTTTAAAATTCTCTATTTCCGCCCTACATTTCAAGCATTTTTTTGGCTTTTTCTTTTGGCCTTCATTCCCCCAACACCCCAATTTTTGAAGATTTTCCACAAGCCAGAGTTTCTATCAAGAGAGGACTGATATCTTTTCTTCTTTTTAACTAAGAAATGTAAAAGAGCGTGGGCACACATACACATGTATGTAATATTAGCATATTTTCAAAAAATGCTAATTTAAAGTTACACCAATGGGAAAGACGTAGCTTGAAAAACAGTATAAAAAGAATATGGTTAACTTGGTAAAACAAAACAATTTACCACAACTGTTTTATTTCAATTGCATAGAATAAATTTCCCCTTGGACCAGTACTTCACAACCATTTTTCTGAAGCACAAATAGCAAGTCTTTAGCTTGAGTTTTCTGGTAAGCAAAGGGAATTTTTCTGGCTTGGCACTTTCATATATCCAATCTATAGGGAAATTTCACCCCTCATAATTATAATTAGATGTAGCACAATTTTTATCACATTTCAAGATAGTTTATCAAACTATCTTATGGTACAATTAATCAAACTAGGTAGTAAATATCTTGGAGACCTATTTCTTTCCAGTGAAAAATGCAGACAGTTCTGCATTTCTACTTACAGGTGCATATTAAATACAAAAATGAATTGGATTATATTCCTGAGTTTCCATAACATCAAAAATAGCATGTTTATTATTTGCAATTTTTAAAGATTTATTTATTTTCATTGAAAAGGCAATCAGATTTTTGGAAAGGAGAGACAAAGATCTTCCGTCTGCTGATTTACTCCCCAAATGACTACAACAGTTGGAGCTCAACCATACTGAAGCCAAGAGCCAGGAGTTTCCTTAGAGTCTTCAATGTGGGTGCAGGGTCCCTAGGGTTTGGCCATCCTCTACCGCTTTCCCTGGACTTATCCAGGGAGCTGAAAGGAAGGGAAGTGGAGTAGCTGGGGGACAAGCCAGCACCCATATGGAATCTCAACACTTGCAAGGTGAGGATTTAGCCACTGAACCATCTGGCTAGACCCTATTCGCAACTTTGAAGTAAGATTGGCTTTTGGCTTGTTACAGTTCCTGCTCCAGGTAGGAAGGCGAAGAGAATGCTAGCTGTGGAAATCCCTAGGGGGAAAAATTTAGTTCATGTAATAACTCTTATTATTACTAATTAAAGCCTGTTTTCTTCATATTGTATGAGTATATTACACTTGGCTTTCAGACAGTAAGGATAAGAATCCCATTTTCATTATCTAACATATCCAACCTACAGAATCAAATATTTCTGAAAATTATTTGTATGATCAGCTTTGTATGAAGGGACCTGTATTTTTTTTTTCAAATGACTTTAACTAAACAACAACAAAATTCTCTGATACAGTGATTTCTAAAGACACTATACCACAAGGAGCATTGTTCTATTCTGTAAGACGTCAGAATTGCTAAGGCTAAGACCTTTCCAAGCCGATAATACCTATATTTGTTGAAAGATAAATTATTATCATGAACAAGAAATAAAAGCATTAATACGACTTGGATTAAGTAATTGAATAATACAAGTGTGATCAGGTTAATGGACAAAAAATTTCAAATCCGTAAGGAAGAATTTTTAGTTATTTCATTAAACAGGCAAGTGTATTGAGACAGCAAAGCATGGAGATTTTTTTAACCTATTATGCGAATAAATGCTACTATTTAAAAATGATAAACTTAATGTATTAAAGATTGAAATTGTGTTTATATTTACTAGATGGTTAAAAAAGGAAAAAAATCCTATCAAATGAACTGTTGAGCTTTGGAAAGGGTGCTTGTCTTTCATCATTACAATTCCTGTGCAGACATTTGTTCATCAGTTTTCAAAATATTGGAAAGGAGAGAGAGGAAGATCTTCCGTCCAATGATTCACTCCCCAAGTGAGCACAACGGGTCAATGCTATGCCGATCCGAAGCCAGGAGCCTCTTCCGGGTCTCCCACGCGGGTGCAGGGTCCCAAAGCTTTGGGCCGTCCTCGACTGCTTTCCCGGGCCACAGGCAGGGAGCTGGAAGGGAGGCGGGGCTGCCGGGATTAGAACCGGCGCCCGTATGGGATCCCGGGCGTGCAAGGCGAGGACCTTAACCTCCATGCCGGGCCCTCAACACAATTATTAAACCTGAGTTGAGAAGGCTAACCAAATTCTTCAGGTACACGTGATTTGAAGCTTGCCTGCCCTTGCCTTCTCAAAGACATTGGACGTGGCACTATTTGCTACTTCTGTAAATACTAACACCAGCACCACCACCACTACTGCTATTACTACTATTCCTGCTATCTGTACTGCTATTAACAGCAGTGTTATTTACTAAATGTTTGTGTCAATTTATTATATACTTTATTCACTCTAAGTTGTTGATCCAATGAACAGAAATATCCCATTCAAAATCATTCAAGCTTAGATTTATAGATGGAAATAAACGCAGTAGCCTCTCCACACAGAGAGTAAAAGCTATTATAGTGCCTGCACCTCTGAGCTCTGTTGATGTTGTATGCACATATGCAAAGACAAGGTGGAGAATTTTTTCAGAAAATACTTCCCTTTGCCATTAATCTTTAGAGTTTTTATCTGCCAAAGAACACTCAGTGAATCCCCGGTGTTCCTCAACCAGGATCAGCATAGAGAAAAAAAAAGGGCAGAATTTTATTTTTATTAGGCAAATTTATGAAATGCATTCAGGGAGGAAAAAAAACGAAGAAAGTAACTCTATAAGTTGTGTCCCTGCTCTCCCTACATAATAATGTCTAAGTCAGACAAACTTCCCTAAAATTAGCACTGTTTTAATAGCTGTGAACATTTAAAATCAATCTCTGACTTTTATAGTGAATATTAGCAATGAAGGCTCACAAACAAAATGTATTAAGCGATTTTATAGCATCTTTGGAGACATTATCGTCATTCAAATTCTACAAATCCTTCTGGTATTTCACTATTGCTTTACTCCTTCCTTAGTAATAATTCCAGAAAATGGTTCACATTAATGTCTCAATCATTCCTTAGCATCCAAGGATCAGCCATATGACCCCAGTCCTAACTAGGACCATCATGTCTCCAATGTCTTACTATTTACTAAATTCTGTATGCACTTTCCTCATATTATTTCACGATGTTTGACATTCTGTCCTCTCTCTCCTGATAACCTCTTTTTCCTGGGGTTCCCCTATTTTGGGCATTCTCCAGTTTCTCTGTGATTCTCACCTCTTCATTTCAGATCTCCTTTGTGGGCTCCTGTTTCCCATAGTTTAAACCTAACGCCCTCTGAGGTCCTCCAAAGCCTGCTTCTATCTTTTAAGATGTGATTGTATTTATTTATTTATTTTTGAATGGCAAGAGTGACACAGAGTGAGACAGAGGGAGTACAGATAGAAAAAGACAGATGTATCCCTGGTTCATTCCAAACAGCCACAAAATCAGTTCTGGATTAGACTATAATCAGGAACCAGGAAATCCATCTCTCTTTCCTTCACAGATGGCAGGGACCCAAACATTTGCGCCACCTTCTACTGCCTCCGCAAGCATATCAGCCGGAAGCTGGATCAAAAGGGAAATAGCCTGGACTTGAACTAGAACTATAACATAGGCAGCTTGGGGTTATAAGTGGTGGCTTAGTCTGCAGCTTCCCAACAGCAGCAACATGCTACACCTGTTGATGAGAACACCCAACTTTTCCCCTCGATGTTCTTTTCTACTTCCATCATCTCAATTACCATCTACGCTGATTACCCCAAAGCAACATAACTCTATTTACTTATATATTACTTTTTACAGATTTATTTATTTTCATTGGGAAAGCAGATCAGACAAAGAAAAGGATAGAAAGATCTTCCATCCGCTGGCTCATG